ATATACCAGGGCAGCACCTACTCCCCCGTCCGCGAATACGAACCTTTAAGGGGAGTTGAAGGTGTGGTGAACAGACTATGAGCAAAGACACCAAAGCTACTCTCAGTCTGTATCTTCTGCGACTATCTGGGAAGGTCAGCAACCAGGTGTGAAGTTTTCTGAGTTATCAGAAAGACCTCCACGGCTTCCTACACGGCAGCACCGAGATCGGGACCAAGATCTTCGGCCAGATGACCGAAGAAGAAGCTTCCTGCTTTCCGTTGAGTTTCGAATGGTAGAGTATGTCGTTGGGACACAGCGGTCTGTAACTTATCGGCCTTTCGTGTTCTGTCTTGCCGAGGTTAAAGGGACATGGTAAGGACAAACACAGGCTGCTCCGACTGACATTTCAAACAATGTCAGCCTGTTATAACGCGCGCTAGGATTGCCTGCCTCTTCTCTATGTAGTAGGGTTAGTATTTCTTGTTCTGCATCAATCAAGACGAAACATATATTCCATCTACAAGAAGGGGTAGTTGAGACGGATGTGAATATATTGTGTGCCATCAACAATCCACCAATCTACAAGAGGGCTACTCTGCAAATGCGGGCTCATCCACTGCCTAGATTATTGGTCGTTAGTATGGATCACGCTGATCACACATGTATTGACAAACGGGTCTCTGCTGCCGTGCTCTTAGTAAAGCATCCAACCTTGGGATGACGACTGAAGATGTATCCAGATTATGTGCATCCTGTGAAACACGTCTACAGACTTTCATATGATAACATTTTTGCTATTTTCCGAGAAAGAGAAATCACTAAGGTTGTCGGAACGACATAATTATCGAAGCAAACCTTTTAGGCATCTGAACACCGCATAGAGCATGTGCCTTTGGAGAAATTTATATCCATGGACAACCATAACATCGGAAGAACAGAGCCTATTATTGATTGATTGAAAACGACTTTAGAACTCCACCTGGGCAAAGAAACCCTAGGTATGCATCAGTATGTTTAGTGCATGGTACCAAAGTACTTAGTTATAGAGTCAGTCGTGGATGTTCCTTTGGCAGACATCGTGGTATCAGAAAGCTGGCCGTAATATGCAATTTATGCAATGGAAAAATTGCCGAATAAGTCTCATTCCCATCGATACTTGGTCAAATGCTATCGATTCTGGTAGTGATGACTCTCTCAATTACTCTCAGGGCAGTCTCCTTGATCTTGGCTTTTGTCTTATTGGGCGACAATCTAAAGGCCACGGTGCTGTGGTTTCCAAACTGTCACAGGACGATAGCTGGGACAATATTACATTTAATACCGGAGACCCTTCGTTGGAGGTGGGACTCCAACCGACGCCGAAGTGATGTTTGTAACAGCGTTGAAACAGTTGGGAGGGCTTCCAGATGTGAGGGTATTACAAGAAGCCTGAAAAGTGAGACTAAATCCCCGAAAGTCTCGACCGGTCTACCCATGGCTACGACGACTACCTTTAGATTCTGACGGTTTCGCCATCGTAATGTTCAGCCCGGAAGTCGTTGTCTTCGGTCCTCTCCGCTACCACGACAGACATGGACAAGCTCATCTTTAGACGAATTGTCCGCATTGTCGATGATCATTCGGAGGCTCTAGCCATTGACTCTAAAAGTGACTTGCTCGACAGCAATACTGGAGACATATCTAGCAGATCAATCCCTTCTCGAATAGCGACCCTCCATTTACCCGCCCCCTCCCCCAAACTCCATCTTCTGCATTGTCACAGCCACCAACGATGGTGGTGACGTCCTGGGAATGTGTTTACTAGCAAGGAGGTCATTGCCCCTGTCGGTGCTTCCAGCACTACTCGGATTCTCGAAGTTTAGTAGTGTTGGTCCTGCATCCTGCTTCTGCATTAGAGGCCTTCATCGGTGGTAGAGAACGACGACCACTTTTCATTGGCGATCCGGCGTATTTCAGGGGCAACTACTTGGACTATCCAGCAAGCTTGAACTGACGTAAATTTCAGGACATGGCCAGCCTTCACAGCGCACAGCCGCAACAACACCAACATGGTCAATCTGACGAGCATTCACCCACATGATACCCTTCCATAGATCTCCAGGGCGAGCCAGGGGTGGTGATGACATACAGGCTGTGTACGAGGGCTCGAATAATAATCGAGGAGCCTGAAAGCCTGGTCTCGCTCGATGGTGCCTAAGCATAAAGCTCACGATGACAAAAGCAGCGGGTTGAAGGCATTTTGCTGCTTCTCGCCTATGCACTGACTGCTATCTGAGCACGAATGACAAGCCATCCCCAAATAGAACCGTCTTTGTGAGTTGATAAAAATGCTACTGCAAGAGATCCCTGATAAGATAGTATATGCGACAGTCTAAATGAATGGAAAGTGTTTGCTACTAGCTCTTGTTCTCTTGGTTTGCAATAGTAGATTTGCAATTGATTAAGGATTTGTTACGGAGTACTTGATAGCAAACTGATACGAGAATGACGCATCATATACAGAGGCGGTACAACACAAAGAACAAACCAAGACTCGCTTTGGGCAAACCTGGTCCTGCATGCATGTATCGCTCTTGAGGAGGGTCTTGATTTCGTTTTCTGATGGACGCACTTGACCAATCAACATGACGGTTTCCGTCTTCAACCCAGCACTCTCGTCAACTACGTATAGCGCTCTCAAAAACAGCCGCAGCGCTGACTGCATTACTGATTCATGACCAAGGATACAACCAACCTCCCTGTGAGATGACAAGAAAGTTGCTTACTTGGGCAACTGGGACTAAACCGAGTAGAGGATGTCATCAGCTCGAGACCGATCCTTCACTGCAGCTAAAGAGACAGGGGGGGGGGGGGGTCAAGGCGCCAGTCAGCAATCTTTCTTTCAAGTCTCTGATGAGCTCATTAGATGGAGACCATCTCCAGGCAGCCGTCAATTCCCCTGCTTCGAGACCGGGAAGCTGAGAGGTTGCGTGCAGGAAGGCGACCCAAATGTCGGGACAGGATTGGATGAACTCCTGCAATTCAATGGCGGAATTCCCGCGAGCTGCCTGGGCCCTCCCGAAATAACCTCACACAAAAGGGCTGAGACAATGCCTGCGCAGCATCGAGGGTCGGTTGGCGAACGCGAGGTCTAATGTGCTCGTTCAACGATCGGCATTTTCACTAGCGTCTTATCCCTGATAAATCTCGTGTTACCACATCACGGCTGTGCTCTAGGAATCATTTCAATTTCTTACTCCATGGCTTGGGCTAGCGGACGGAGATTGCTAGGATAACCGTTACGGCCCACGAGGCTCCAGGCAGCAGAAGCTTGTTAAGACGGCCGGTCACCGCCCGCATCCGACCTCGTCCTGATACCTTCTGCACTCGTCTCGTTCCAATCCGGCCAGCAAGCGACTGCATCGTCAACATGGTTCGTCTTAGTATCCTGGCCCTCGCCGCCACCATCCAGCTCTCTCACGCGTGGCTGCCGAACGATGGTTCCAGGAAGCTGCTGGATACCCGTGGCTTCAGCCTCTTCGACTCGCAAAACGCAACCATCGAGGGGTCCGATGGCGTAAGTAAGCGTTGGTGGACGGCCTCGGGCAAGATCAGGGGCGTCAACCTGGGCTCGCTCTTCGTCTTTGAGCCTTGGATTGCCAACGGAGAATGGAGCAATATTGGTTGCGGCGGTCAGCAGTCCGAGTTCGACTGTGTCATGAACACTGGCCAGGAGAGGTCCGATGCGGCGTTCCAGAAGCACTGGGACACGTGGATAACCGAAGGCGACCTCGACGAGATGATGGGGTACGGTATCAACACCATCCGGATCCCCCTCGGCTACTGGCTCGATGAATCGTTGGTCGACAAGAACTCGGAGCACTTCCCAAGGGTACGGTACAGCATCTGACGCTGCAGCCAAAGGCAAGGGCTAACTTTTCCCAGGGAGCCTTGAAGTACTTGATTCGTTTGGGCGGATGGGCCAGTGATCGTGGCTTTTATATCATCCTGGAGTGAGTCGTTCCCGTCCCGCCATGTCTTTGTGTGCGACTAACAAGTAGGAAGCCAGCACGGTGCCCCAGGAGCCCAGGTTGCCAAGAACTCTTTTACCGGTCAGGTAAGACGGCCGCCCCTGTCGAGTTGCGCTGCCCTTCTGACGTTTTGTAGTTTGCTCCAACCGCGGGGTTTTACAACGACTACCAGTACGGCCGGTCCGTCAAGTTTCTCGAGTTTCTGAGGAAGCTTGTCCACGACCACAACGAGCTTCGAAATGTTGGCACTATCCAGCTTGTGAACGAACCCACCAACTGGGCCTCGTCAGAGCCATCCCTCCGTAGCACGTTCTACAAGAATGCCTACAACGTCAGTCGCGGCCTCTCCTTTCCCACTCCCGCTTTTCTCACTAACACGCTCCAAGGCTATCAGAAAGGTTGAGCGGGATTCCGGCGTGACGGCCAATAACTACGTCCACATCCAGATGATGTCCTCGCTCTGGGGCTCGGGCAACCCGACCGAGTTCCTCGACGACACATACTTCACCGCCTTCGACGACCACCGCTACCTCAAGTGGGCCAACAAGGACGAAGTGCCCTGGACTCACGAGAGCTACATCTCGACGTCGTGCGCCGATAACCGCAACGGCGACGCCGCGGGGCCGACTATCGTGGGCGAGTGGAGTATCAGCCCACCCGACGATGTCGAGAACTCGGACGGCTGGAACCGCGACACGCAAAAGGACTTTTACAAGAAGTGGTTCGCGGCCCAGGTGCTGGCGTACGAGAGGTCGACCGCCGGCTGGGTGTTTTGGACGTGGAAGGCACAGCTTGGTGATTACCGATGGTCTTACAGAGGCGAGTTTTGTCTCCCCTTCTCGAGTGTTTGCGATGCGTGTGCTGACTGTTTCCTAGACGCCGTGATTGCGGGAGTCATCCCGAGAGACCTGAACACGATTGCGAACTCGGGCGTCTGTGGCTAGGAGGTGTGACCGGCAATCATGACGGCCGTGTAAAAGGGTACACGATATATCACGGGGATTCCTGTTGACCCAGTCCAAAGAGAGAAAGAAATAATAATCGTGATAGCGTTTGCCGAGGCTAGACTGGTTTATCGGAGTTCCACGATGCTTCTCGTAAACTTGGAGGAAAGCATGCAACTCCGGCCCTTTTGGCGTCCACGATGACCCGGTAGTGAGACTAGCAGCCGTGGTGCCCCGCCCGCATTCAGCAGGATCTCAACCCCTCCCCAGACTCGTGTTGGCAGCGGCGGTGAGACCAATATTGCAGTGTGCATCAATGACAGGATGGCGTCTATATGAGAGATCGGCACGCGGCAGGGTTGGGTTGTAGATTCCCGTGTTTCCCCTTCTCGCCCGAAGCTAAATGACGTCCTAAAGCGACCAGGCGGAACGAGCCAAGAGATCCATGCGGGCCGTCGGCTCAATCGCGTTGGTTCCAACGTCATACACCTCACTAGTGAGTGGTTCCACGCTGTCTTCACATTCCGTCCTCTGCAGTTGCCCCTCATTCCATCGTCCCCTTTCCACATGGCCCGAGGCGGTGGTCTGAATCTAGGTAGTGCAACGTCGTATTGCAAACACGAGGAACATGCCCACGGGGGCTGCATTATACGTTTGACGTCCAGCGTTGATAGACGTACCTTCGTAATGTAGCGTCGATTCGTACCGGTCGGCGAGCGTCCAAGAACTCGGGACCTGCGATGCAGGAATCCAGGGGTCTTTCTAAGATTCTTTTCCAGAGAAACAAAACAAGATGCGCGTTCCCACTCGGCCGGCCGGAAGCTTGGAAATCGACCCGCGCAGGAAGGTTACATGGCTGCCGTGGCCGATTGACATCTGGGCCGACCCGGCATGATGATACTGTTGGCATGGTTGGAATCTGTGGTGTCAGTATGCAATCAGTCAATTATTAGCGGAAGGGCCTTTTGCCTCTGAGGTAGGTAGTGATGACCATCCATGAACAGCAGAGTGACGATCCGAATCAGACAACCGTGATAACCAATCAGTTTCCCCAGATTTTACCCCAGCAGTTCCCTTTCTCACTGGTCCATCTGCACGACCGGCTTGCCCATTCACCGGATCCGGACTATGGGTGTTGATCGGTAACTAACCACCTATTTTACCGAAGCTTTCCGTTGGTCGTCGTCTTTTGGGCCCGCATTTGCGTCCATGTCACCCTAGGAACGGAACGCGCTTGTGGTTCGGCGGGGTTCCGCACAAAGTTTGGCGGCTTCCCCGATTGCCTGCCTCTCTGCCTCCCTGTCCTCTCGTGTCTTCCCGTTACATCCGTCTTGGGGTGGTAGATGTTCGTATACGATCATCAGGTGACCCAAATCAGAAATGATCGCAGGGTGGGATGGAAGAGAAGGGAAGGGACGGGAAAGAAGGGCGGGGCAAGCACAACGACGGTGAGGACGGACTCCAGTCGCGCCTGTTCGAATATAAACCACTTCAATCCCCGTCGTCCTTCGACAAACTCATGTGCATCCGTCTACAGCTAGATCCCAGATCCCATAATACCAATAATCATTGATTTCAAAAAACAAGGGGCGTATTATCATATATCAAACTTTGTCAAGGTACGCCGGAGCTTCTGAAAATCAGTAAGCAGACGAGGCTCACCTAGGAACCAGCTCATCCCCAACGGCATCAATAATCACTCTTCCAATCACAACCCCGCCACCGCGTCTCCAGTGGTCAAGATGAAGACTGCCTCCGTACTCGCCCTTCTGGGCGTCGCCTCGGCCACCGCCCAGTTCACCAACCAGACCAAGCCCTTTTGGCTCAAGTTTTCCCCCACCAACGATAGCTCTGTCGTGACCTACCTCGCGTCCTGCCATTCGGGCGCCGGCCAAGCCGGCCTCTGCCCGGAGACCGGGGGATCCAGTCACACACAGTACTTCCTCAACGAGACCCAGTCCGACTACCAGGGCCAGATCCTCGGCGCCCTGACCTGGGACCAGCCCATAGGCAACGGGAACCCCGTCTCCTCCAGCATGAATCTCAGCCCGCAGCTCGTTTCCAACGGCGCCATTCCCATCTTCTCGCCGGGCAACAGCGCCTTGTTCACCCTCGGCTTCGATGAGAACGAGAAGCTCTTCATCGCTACCAACGCCGACGACTCCAGGGCCGCGCCCAACGCCCCCAACTACTCCCTGGAGGCGTATTACCGCTGGCACGTCTGCTGGACTTTCGTCGGCAACTACTTCTACAACTCACTCGTCTGGGTCACTGCCGGTGCTCCGTCCAACCCGTAAGAGCCAATGCCCATCGTCCATTGCCGATGTACAACATACTGACAAAGCCCCAGTACCTGCTCCGCTGTCAATGTCTACAGAGAGTGGGCACCTTCGTCCTAAACTGTACGCTTTCTGATGTTGAGAATGACTCGAGCCCGGCCGTGGCGTTGTTTTTGAGGACTCAGGCCAAGATCGGTCTCGGCATTCCACGATATCCTACTGCCGTCTTTCATATGAGCATCTCCTATCTCCGTCGTGGCGGTGGCGGCGGTGGTGATCATGATGATCATAATGATGCTGATGATGATGGCAACGATCGAACCCAATACCTAATCGTAATCAAAGCTTTCTTAGAATCCTCAAATGAGAAACGTCCTTTCCTATCAACATTTTAAGGCAATACCAGCCGAGTCGTTGATATTGGTGTCAATTGAATGTATGGATTCTCACAGCTTGTCAATCACTGAGCCACATTGAATTCGTTGACGTCTATACTGGGGGTCTGATATCATGAAGCGGCCAGCACGTTGAACAGACCAACATTGTAAAAGTCATGATTGCCCGATGCGCGCCTCGACAACCGAATCTGTATCGTTCATCTTCTCTCGGTCAATACAGCAAATGTAGCTTCGGTCGGACGTCAGCATCTCTCTTCGGATGCGTCGTTCGACGAGGCGATAACGAGGGTGGCAACGATAACGTAGGTGCAAAGACCGGTAGAGTTCCGTCGAGCGTTAAGACGGGAGGGCCGATACACCCGCACGGAGTCGCAGATACGCGGAGGGACGGCGAGACAGAGTTTATTTAGTGAGTGAAGCGATGCCCGCATCCGGAGCGGTTATGTTGACGGGCCGTTGGCGATAATTGCAACTCGCCAATACGTGCACGTGGACGGGAACAATGCGCTGCGTATCCTTTGGATACCGATGCCCGATGACATGGAGGACTGATGTCTGGAATGCTGTATGCTTCGTCTACGGAGCAGCCCAGGACTTCTAGTTCGAGCGGTCGTAGCCCAGCCTCTCTCCATCATCCAATTCCAGAACCACTCGAGTCAGGCTGGCGCTTCCAATTCCTACCCGTTCACACAATGTCACATCATCAACATGCCGAACCTTCCAATTGCCACAGATGAAGAGATCGGTTTTCAGCCACCCCTTTCCATACCTCTTATAAACGTGCCGTGCCCGTTCCGGGCTGGGCCTCGAAGGGCAGAACGTGGAAGGCCCTGCCGCCGATGGCCTGTGAGCCCATCAGCAGCCAGGACGGCATCATCCACTTCAACCCGGTCATCATCTTCTTCATGTCCCTCATAAGATCAGAGGACTCGGCCAAGGTCGTCCGGTCGGCTAAGGAAAAGGTTTCGGAGTTCACGAATGCCATGGGGATCTTGGATTCCCAGAGCTTCTTCGTCTTTGCAAACAAGATGCTCAAGTGGACGCCGACTGAGAACGTCGAGGCCAATTACATATAACGATATCCTCTGCCTGTTCTATTCCATCTTGGACTAGGAGCCGCTGTTGGGCTTGCAGACACCCGCTCCGTCGGTAAGCCCTTGAGCCTGCTGCCCTGCTGGATAGTGGTGTTCGCTCAGCTTATCAGGCTCTTCATGGACACTGCCGTGTCGATCAGTGAAAACACGTCCCAGCCCTTCGTCGACTCGCCAAAGTATGCTATCCACGAGGCAGTGGTCCCTCGGGGCGCGGGTTCCGCACCTTCAGCGACTTCTTTCTACACCTAAAAAAATGGCATAAGGCCCATCGCTGATGGGGACAACCAAAGGGCCATCACCACCTACTCGGCAGATTGCACCCATGACAACTCCATCGCCAACCAGAGCATTGTCCACATCCAAGGCACGAGCGTCATCGAGATCAAGGGGCTCCCGTGGACCATCGGCAGCTTGCTGCAGGGTAGCCAGTTTGCTGACCACTTCAAACGGGGGAGTGTGGATGCATGCGTTCCTCAACTACCACCGCCAGCACGCCCTGTCTCCGGCAGGGTGGTCGAAGCTATGAACATCCAGGGCGCGGCCTATCTCGAGGTCGACCAGCAGTGCAAGCCCATCCGCGAGCTCTTCTTAACGGCCATGGATATCGAGAACGATCGTAAATGCAAGCCCGAGGCGCCCGATTCGCCAGACCAACAGTGCTGCAGACCAGGTTGAGAACCACCCGCTCGGCAAGGCGGCTGTGCTACGATAGACATGGCCATGGTCTCCTCGGTCAAGGTGTGGTGCACGTAGGGCAGAAGCTGAAGTCGGGCGACGATATCTCGAGCTTTTTGTTCGGCGGGCCAGACATCATTTGCGTGTTTGAGTCACGGTCCGGCCTGGAGCCCGAGAACTTCGTCCTTTCGCCTAAAGACAACTACTCTAGGGTATGTAATCATACCGCCGAGGGCTCCCGGGCAGAATTCGAACGGGAACTCCAACGGACACCACCGATTGGCCGGGGTCATGAGGTTGGATCGAAGCGTGTAGCACTGATGGTTGAGTCTGACAATAGAAGTGAAGGTTCCTTTGGCCTCCACCGTGCCCTCGAAGTGAACCTTACAACCGGGGATCTCGGGGTGTCCATGGTCCCCGACTATGATAACACAGCACTGTTCGTGCCCAACAGTGGAATATCGGCCGAACGCGTCTTTGAGGCATCCGCCACTTGCGACAAATCGCCACGAGTTGTAATGTCCGTTCCTGAAACGAGCTCCGCTCGGCGTGGACCAGACGGGGACGAACGCACAGAAAGGCGAAAAAGCGAAGAAGCGGACCGGCCCGTACGAGACGGGCTTTTCGCGTAAAAGGCGGTGACTGCAGGGGAAAGGGGGGTTTATGAGCGACGCGATGCAAACGGGGGCTTGCGACTCGTATCCAGGGGTATAGAAGGTCAGCCTCGAGAACAAAACTTGATGCGAATTGGATGGCTGGGAAAACGGAGTCGGTCGTGGTTGGGTGACGTTGCAAGTGTTGCTTGCGCTTGTGCAGCTTGACGTGTCCGACGGTGGGACACCGCTTTGATGCTAGAAGTTGTATCCGCAGGCTGCACTTGTTTGCTGGTCCCTGGCTCCGTTATCGAAGCAGCAGGTGGCATGCAGCTTTGCATGTGACTCACTTTTCCCGCCGAATCTGACGCCTGCTCTCTCCGTTTCGTTTCTAATGTTTTACGACGTCGAAAAATATCAACAAAACCGACCCTTTGAAGTGTAAATAAATAAAAAGGTTCTGTTAAGAACCCCCCAAGTCAAACTGCGCTTGCTTGGTTCGTCCTAATCAACCCCAACCACCGGATTGTTTAAATGAATGGGGAACCTGGTTTCCCAGTGGATGAGTTTCACGTGAAGATAAGAGCTTCAACCAATCGATAAGACGCTGACCGTCGCATTTCCAGGGGTGGGTGGGTGGCGCCGGGCAAGGCTTCATCACCCCGCGCAACCACGTCTGTAGGACGGGTCGGGTCCCAAGTGTCGGCGCGCAGACATGCAACCTGCTCTTGCTGGTGAGCACACAGACAAGGGCGGGCGCAACCCACTTACTCTTCCTTGGGGGAAGTCTAGTCCCCCTCTCACACCCACTCTCTCTCCCTTCCGCGCGGATACTAAGAAGACTTTACTACTCTGAGGTCTTTCCCGAAAACCCTCCTTTGTTTGACACCAAGATTTTATGAAGCAGAGTTGCGTTTTCTTTGCTTCATGAAATCTAGCGCATCTTACACCAACCAACACCGATATCCCCCACTTGCATCCGGACCGCTCCCCGACCACCTCAATTTCAAGACAGTACACATTGCTTGGTGGTCCCTTTCCGAGTCTAGTCGGCCACGATAGAGACATAAACAGTTAACCCGCATTCCTCAACCCGGACCGCACTACCCGGTAGACTGAAGGAACTCCTTGCCCGTCGTCGCCATCATGGCGCCGGCAAATGGGTACTCGGCCCCGGGCGTCGCTTCGTACGACTCCAACACAATGTCGGTCGGCGACGGCACCTGGGATTTCGAGAAGAACACTTTCCTGCTGCCTAACCTCGTAGGCCTCAACTTCGAGACGATGCAGTACAATGGTGAGCACTCATTTGCTGGGCGAAGCCTCGGCCGCGAATGTCAACTAACACGCCCTCGCAATCTAGGCATGGGCAATCGCTTCTCAACAGTCGCCCAATACCATACTCTAGTACTCGCCCATGGCGTCATGGCCGCCATCATCTTCCTCCTGATCGTTCCGGTATCCGTCTTCATAGCCCGCTTTTACACGGCGAAGCCTGGTTACGCCATACCCTACCATGCTCAACTGAACATCCTTGCCGTGCTTATGCTCATTGCCGTCTTCGTCTTGGGCTGGTTTTCGGTTGGCCCCGAACGGAGCTGGACCAACCCGCACCATGCCATCGGCCTAGCCATCTTCATCTTGTTCCTGCTTCAGATCATTGGCGGTCGACTTGTGCGCAACATTCGGGGGCGCTCGATCCGGAAGATGTTTCATCGCTGGAGCGGGAGGCTCATTGCGCTGCTCGGCATCATTCAGGTGGCTCTCGGCCTTACGCTCTACGGCTCGCCCAAGTGGACCTTTGTCCTCTACTCCCTCTGGTTGGCTTTCCTACTGCTCATCTACTTCGTCCTCAGTTATCGTGCCGAAGGCACTGGGCGTGGCCGCGAGACCTACATCAGTGGTGGCCGCTCCGAGGGCCCAAGCGGCGAGTCGGAGTACTACAGCGATGTATACACTGAGAAGTCCAAGGGTAACAAGTGGTTGGCGCCCTTGGCAGCTGGCGCTACCCTCGCGGCACTTCTCGGTCGCAAAAAGTCCAAGGAGAAGGAGAAGGAAGCCAGCCGGGAAAGATCCAAGTCAAGGAGCCGCAGCCGCGGACCGGAGGTCGTTGGTTCTAGGCGGGGCTCGGCTAGTTATCTTACCTCTAGAAGGGGCTCGGACACCTACCTCGAAGACGAGAAGTTCACCGAAGTGGACTCTCGACGGGACGGCAAGAAGTCGGGGGGCGGGTTCCTGTCGAAGCTGCTCGGCGTCGGCGCCGCCATTGGCGCGGGAAAGCTGGTCTCGAACCTATTCAAACGAAAGGAGAAACAATCACACGACGAAGAATATTCCGCCGTATCGGCAGAGACCCCAGGACGGCGCCCAAGCCGAAGCTACCCTGCCACCAGCGAATACACGGATTACACCGACTGGACCGAGGATACCCCGCCACCTAGACGTGGGCCACGCGAGGGTTCCCTCCTGCCACCCCCTGGAGGCCCAACAGCCGCAGCCGCAGCTCTGAGTGCTGCCGAACCGCGAACGAACCGGCCTCCGCATGCAAGAACCCGATCACAGTACAGCTTCGAGGATTCGGAATATTCGTCATACGTCAGCCCTTCAAGACGGAAAGACGATCCATCCGCCGGTCCTGCAGGTGGGGCCGGAAAGGGCGTCTTGGCCGGCTTGGGCCTAGGATGGCTCGCTAAGAAACTGGCCGACCGAAAGTCTAAGCGCGCAGAAGAGCAGAGACTCCGTGATGAAGAAGACATGAGATCAGGAATCACCGGATCAAGGTACACGGGAGACGGCTTCTCATCTCCGTCGCATGACCGGAGAGGGTCTCGCCGTGCCAGTGGACGCCGTCCAAGACCGCCCATGTCGGCCATTAGCACTGAAATCACAGAGATGACTGGATCGTCCGAGTTGGAGCCTCGACCCCCCGGCACAGGCTACGGAGGGCCACCAATGCCACCCCTATCTGCAGGACCCCCACCCCAACCAAGGACACCCGCAGGGTCTGGTGGATACTCTCAAACAACATCAAGGCATGATGTTATCGACCCAGTGGGTATGCCTCCAATGCCTCCCGACCCAGCGGGAGTGCCCCACCGCGAGTCGGAGAGTGAAGGCTACGTGTCACCTGGCGGACGACCTCGCCGACGGGACTCGTCCAAAAGAAGGAGAGCTGGAGAAGAGGCGGCTGCTGCAGCAGTTGCCTCGGCCAGCGCGCTCGCAGCGGCAGAGGACCGCCGCCGGGCTCACTCCGAGCGCTCGCAGCCTGTGAGCGTCAAGGTCAGAGTCCACGATGACAAGGATAGAAATATTACACTGCGGAGGTTGACTGAGGAGGAGGCCGCTGCCAGCAGGCGCGGCGAAAGCAAGAGGAGACGTGGCTCACTAAGCAGTTTGTCCGGAATCGAAGTCGGCAGCGGCCGACGATACCGCCGCGACTCGAGCCAAAGACGAGCCGAGTCGGCAGCAGAGCATGCTGCCGAGGCTGGAGATTACCTGCCGCCGCCGAATCCCGCATTTGCCGCAGGCAGGAAACCCAAGGACTCGGCGTACTACTCCGGGGGGCCGCCGGTGCAACCAGCACCCATGGCCGGTGCGACTGTCTCTAGTATAGGCAGCGAGAACACTCACGGTACCTGGAGCCAGATGAGCCCCTCGCCCAGTGCACCACAGACTAACCCTGTTGGGTCCGCAGCAGCCGATAATCGTCGGAGAAGGAGACAGGAGCGCAGGCGGAGCAGCGCGAGCCGACCGACGGGGGCGGACATGTTTGATTAACACGAGACAAGTTTGTCCGATAGCGGAGACTTGACGTCTACAACAGACACACGATGACCGATGACGAGCAAACAAAAGACGAAAGACGACGAACGGCCCACGACCAAGACGACGATGTTGATGTGAGAGCCCCCCCGCTACAACACAAGGGCGGGTAAGTATGACCGGCGGTGGGATACGATTTCGCGTATCGGAACGGCCAAAAGAATGCATTGGGTTGGTGTAACCTGTCGCAACTCGGAGCCACAGGCCCGAAAGGAGTTTATGTGCTGTTTTTGTGTTTTTTCCTCCCTCCACGAGAACTAGCATTTTCACCAACGGAGGTCTGAATATGTCGCGGTTGCTTCACCAATCTCACGGGTTTGGGCAAGGAAAGGCGAGAAGAATTGATGGTCTGTGATTAATGTTGCGTCTATGATTGTATGAAGGAGTGCACATGCATGTATGTCGACGGATGAATTGCATGAAAGAAGAACGCTGTGGGAAGCTGTAGGTATCATAATTGGAAAGCTTCACCACCACCTCTAGCTTCGTCTATACGTTCGCCTTGACTCACTCTCCTCTGTGTCTGTGTGAAACAACTTATGGACCCTCACTTTGGAACCTGAGATGTAGGTTGAAATGCGCTTGAAACGTTGCAGGATTCGGTCGGCTGCGTGCCGTGTCATTCTAAGCAGGCGAGGCCGCTTCTTGTATATCGTGGTTCCCCACATTCTTAACCTCCTCCCTCATTCTCCCGTCGCGTTCTAAGGTGATGATAATTATGATGATGAAAGGAGAAAAAACAACTGATCTCCCGGCCCCGCTGTGTTGTTGTTCCCTTGACTGCATGCACTCCGTCCAAACAAAATAATCTTGATTCAAGGGGGAAAAAAAAGAAAATAAGAGGTCGGGAAAAGCCCTTCCTTTCCGTCTTGGTCATTTCGTGAGCCCAAACTCCTTGCATGTTTCCAAAGTCGTTGATCCAATTCGGAGAAGGGGTGTAGCTGACATTATCGACGGTTTCATGGATCCCCTTTCGATTCCCTGACATAATCCCAACGCCAAATGAGTGAAACCCCCAAGTACCCGTTTATTAATACTCGGCACCTCCAAAACTCTTGTTCCTCGTAAGGGTCGCACGCTTGATGCTGGCCCGCGGAAGGTGCTCATAGCTCTTGTTACGGCTTCGAGCCGTTCCGGGGCGGCTTCCCGCGGCACCCTCGCCCTCACCTTCCTCAGCCACGATCATAGCATCTGCCGGCATCGCGGCGCTCTCCTTG